GTGTTTGTGTATTTGCATTGAAAGTTAGCATATACTGTTAAAATTAAATCACTGAAATGTAAAGATGAAAAGCATCGCTTTGTTTTCATTTTTATAAACTGGATTTGGTAGACTCACACTATCTAAAGAATTAATCCATCCACTCACAATTAAAAAAAATACTGCTGTTTGTCACAAGACTGCATTTATAGCTTGTAAACTCAGTATGAGTACTAGGCACAAACAAAAAGAAAAAAAATATGATCAACTTGTATATCTGCTGCTATTTTAAGTTCTATTTCTTAGCTTTTTATTTTTTTCTTATCTTAATTGTGGCTGTATTTTGTGTGATGCACCAGAAATATTAAAAATATATAATATTTTCAGTAACTTCAAATGGCTGGGGCAGGTAGAGGAAGAGGGCGTGCTGCATTTACCTTCAATATAGAAGCTATTGGTTTTTCTAAAGGCGAAGCACTACCTGAAGCAGCATTCAAACCCCCACCACTCTTTCCTGTAAGTAGCAAGATGAATCTTAGTTCCAGAATATATTGTGTATAAGTAAAAAATTTTTCACTTTCATACCCAAGTAATGGGTGAAACCTTAAATGTATGAAAAATCCTTAGTACTTCGTCAATTTTGACTTGCCTGTTGGCTCCCATGACTGTTATTTGCCTCTCCTTTTGCCTCTACATTCTATCTGCTTGACAAATCTGTTACTCTGTCTCTTTAATTTGATTCATGGGGCAGGGATTATGTTTGACAATGTTTGCAAAATATCCACACAATGGATCCTGATTGCCAGGAGAAACTCTGGACTTCTGAATAAAAACAGTGGATACTTGTACCCTTTTGAAATGGGATCTCAGATGTGTAGAAGCTATGAACTATTATTTGAATTTAGGAAAGGAAGATAAGAGTAAAAATATTTAGATAAATATCTCTTAAACTTGCAGCTGATGGGTACTTACAAAGAATGTAGCCTGAATGATATTTTATATATCCAGGAGGGCAAGTGGAAGCTTAAGATGTAGGAATTCATTATAAAATTACAGAATTTCTTATCTTACTATATTTATGATTCTGTAAAAGTATCTGCTGCCTTTCTCATTTCTACATGGTACACACTATGACATACAACTTCAGATTTAATAGGTAATTGCTGCCGTCCTACAGTTTTCCTAAGTAGTTACATTGAGTTACTGAGATTTTGATAAACTTGATGAAAGGTGATAATTTGGCATGCTGTGGCTGTGTCTGCATGAAATGCTTACTGCACAGTACTTTGTTACTACTGTGCAATAGTGTCACAGGGCATGATCTGTAATGCGACACTGCTATGCAGTAATAATGAGCTACTGTGCAGTAAGCATCACCAGGCAACCATGTGGGGACTCTACTGTGCAGTAACACTAGTTACTGCACAGTCATTTAATACTTGGTTATGCAAGTGTAGACGTGCACATCTCGTGTAGACGTGCACTGTAACATCTAACTTGGTGACTGCCCTCAAGTGGAATGCAAAGCTCAAAGTTAGGTGCACAGCAAGAGTTTAGTGCTTTGGCAGGGCAATCCAAAATGTCCACACACTGACTGGGGAGTTATCTAAGAGTTGGCCTATAGGAAACATTGGACACAGGAGCTTATTTGGACTCCCATACTTCTCTGAAGTTTGTGTCTTTGCACTCCAGGTTCAGAGCTTAGAGTCCCCTCTGGAGGTAGGTACCCACAGTTGTTCTTGGAACAAACTGAGCAGGGGTCGCTCTTAAAAATGAGGAGCTTGAGACTCTGGTAGTTTTGCATGTTTATAATAGGCTTGTGATTAGTGTGCTGGTCCAGGAAGTAGGAAATATGGAATCAATGCTCACCTTGACCAGAGGGCATTCAGAACCACATTTCCTACCTCCCGGAAGAGTGCCCTCAGATCATAGAATTGACTGGGTGAGGGCGTCTCCTTTACTGAGCTTGTTGAAGCTGGGCCACGATGTGAAAAGGAGTGCACGATTTATGAGGGTAGGAGGAGAGGAACCAAGAGAGAGCATGACTGTGTAGCCCAGTAATGACGGCATTTAGCTGAGAGGAGGGATCCTTTCTTTTGTATTACCCTGTGAATGTTCAGTGTAAAATTGAATTGAACTGATGTTGCATAAAGTTCTGAGCACATAATTGGAATGCAAGAAAATTTATTTGCAAAGTGGCATAATATAGAATTGCATTACTCTATGTATTAGGGACACTTTTTGTTCTTGTATGACAGTTTTTAGCACATTATTAGTACTGTTGTAATACACCTCAATAATGCAAATAATTTTACACAGAGTACAGACTGTAAACCAGTGCCTTTGAAAACAGGAGAAGATGAAGATTACATGTTGGCCTTAAAGCAAGAACTTCGAGGGACTATGAAAAAAATGCCTTACTTCATGCCAGTAGAAGAGGAACATGAAGGTCTGTGGTGAATCTGTTTTTATTTATAAACAGCAAAATGTGGTATTTGTGTAGGATAATATAATAATGTTTTGCAATTCATATATTCAAACTGGAGTTCTTATTTTGAATTAAAGGGACAGTGTCAACTTAATCATGTTTTACTCTGAAATTTTTGCTTATGCTAGAGTTAAATGCTTGTGTAAAGAGACTATGGCATCTGTCTTACCCCAAGATATTTTAAAATTAAATTATAAGAACAATGGACCACAGGACTAATTCAGATCACTTGGACCCTATAGTCCAGTCCCCTCCAATCACAGACAACCATTGCAGTTTTGTTGGTGTCCAATTTAGAGTTCTTGAAATCCAGTACATAATGTTTTCAATAGTTTGTTGAACATCTTCAATTAAACATCTAAAATTAAAGTTTCCAAACTTTGTTAGAAAATTGCATTAGGGGAGAAAGAAACTTCCCCTTTTGTTTTCCTGTTACACTGCAGTAGTATCCAGAATCTAGCAACTGTAAGCTGGCTCTCAGTCATTAGTCAGACAGGGTTTCTTGCTCATTGTTACTTTTTGCCTATTTTCATCATCTTCCTGCGATCGTACCAGATACAATATTTGATGTTATTTGTGGACTTACAGGAATATAGGAATTGCCATACTGGATCAGAACCAAGATCTCAGTAGTCCATCATCCCGTCTCTGATAATAGCCAGTGCTGGATGTGATAGAGAAAAGTATAAGAAGGTAGATGTAAGATAATTTACTACCTCATCCTCATTATTAGTGATGATTGAGCCCTGAAACATGAGGTTTAGGAGCTCCTCCAACATTTTCATCATCATAACTGTATTTACCCAAATCCAAGGTAACTTAGAATTTAAAATGACCCCCCACCAATAATTAGGTTCTAGACATGGAAAATCTATAAACTTGTAATTTTCCATGCCCAGATTTTAATTATTGGAGGGTCATCTAAAATTTGTCCCCCTGACTGTTGTGTAAGGGGGGAAGCAGCAGAGAAGGCTGTCGGGGAGGGAGCGGGGGGGAGGCAGGTAGGGAGAAAGTAGAGGCAGGGGGGCAGCTGGGGGACAACGGGTAGGAAGAAGGTAGGGGAGGAAGGTGGGGTCAGGGAGAGCAGGCAGTCTTCTTCCCCCCCCCCCAGCATCCCTGGTGTCTCCCCCAAACATTCTCCAATTCCTTTCCTCTTCACCACTTGCCTCCCTGCATACCTCCCCCTTCCACTGCTGTCCTGGCTGATCTGGTTGCAGGGGGTGCCCCAGAGCCCTTCCTTCCCCACATTGCAGTGAGCTCACAGCTGGCACATTCCTTGTTTCCTGCCCAAGTCCTC